ACCCTAGTACCATGGCTTTCCTGAGTGCCCTTCTCAGGGCATCCATGACCTCCCTGTTTCTCAGGCTATAGATGAGGGGATTAACCAGGGGCGTCAGGATGGTGTAGAAAAAGGAGAACACTTTGTTGAGCTGCCTCAGTGGAGCCGTTCTGGGCATCAGGTAGTCAATGAGGAGGGTGACATAGAAAATAGTGACAACAATGAGGTGACCATGGCTTTCCTGAGTGCCCTTCTCAGGGCATCCATGACCTCCCTGTTTCTCAGGCTATAGATGAGGGGATTAACCAGGGGCGTCAGGATGGTGTAGAAAAAGGAGAACACTTTGTTGAGCTGCCTCAGTGGAGCCGTTCTGGGCATCAGGTAGTCAATGAGGAGGGTGACATAGAAAATAGTGACAACAATGAGGTGAGAGGAGCAGGTAGAGAAGGCCTTCTGCCTGCCCACACTGGATGGAATCCTCAGGATGGCAGCTATGATGCACACATAGGAGACCAGCGTAAAAAAGAAGGGGAAGATAATGCTTAGGAAAGACACGGTGAAAGATACAACTGTCAGCACACTGGTGTCACTGCAGGAATGATCCACCAGAGGGTTAAAGTCACAGAAGAAGTGGTCGATTGTCTTAGGGCCACAGAAATTCATCTGGGATAAAAAGGTTGTGACTGTTATGGACACCAGATTGCCCATTACCCAAGATACAGCCACCAGCTGTAGACAGACTTTCCAGGTCATGAGGCTTGCGTAGAGCAGGGGCTGGCATATAGCCAAGTACCGATCACAGGACATGGCCCCCAGCAGGTAACACTCTGTAGCTCCCAGAGAGCTGAAGAAGTAGAACTGAGCGATACAGCCATGAGCAGAGATGGTCCTGTCCCCAGTGAGGAAGCTAGCCAGCAGCCGGGGCAGGATGGTGGAGCTGTACCAGATCTCCAAGGAGGACAGAGTGCCCAGGAAAGCGTACATGGGGGTGTGCAGACGTTTCTCTGACACTACCAGTACAACTATGAGGATATTCCCACTCACAGTTGCCAAATAAATGAAGAGTGATAGGAGGAAGAGAGGAATCTGGAATGTGGGTGTATTCCCCATTCCCAGCAGCAGGAACTCCACAGGTGATGTCTGATTGTTCTTTTTGTGTTTTCCCATACAGTTTTGTGTATCTTTCTTTTCCCACTTGCCAGGAAGGAGGCCTGTGACAAAACACGTTAGATTTAAGAAAAGTCTTGAGGGACATTCCTGTAAAAAACTCAAAAAAGTCAAAATCACATACACTTTGCCTTTGTTCATAGTTAAATTTTGGCACCCTGCACATCAAAAGGAGAGAACTATGATGAGGGCAAACCTGCTTGTCCCCAAGAGCACTCTCTCTGCACACAGGAATGACTTGCCCTGTGGAGCTGCCTCTTTCTCACACTGGAATAAAAACAAAAAAAGTGGGCATTTGCTCACATTTTGACCTGCGCTCTTGTGATCAGTAGTTTCTCCAACATAATCAGAACAATCTGCTGAGAACTGAGATCCTTTGCTCTCTGGCAAGGGAACAGTGTCTCAAGGAAAAGCATTGCCATGATTTGAAATGTGTTGTTTCTGTAAAAATATCAAGGCAGATATTTGCTGCTTTCTTCAACTAGGAGAAAAAGGAGCAAAGTGAGAGGAGAAAGTGGTCTCAGCTGTCTGAAACACTACCCTTCAGAGGAGATTATTCCTGCCCTCAGCAAACCAATTTCTTGCATTGACAAAGAACAGGTCAGGAGTTTCCAGCTCAGATGTAAAAGGCGCTTTTCAATGAGATCATGACAGAGGACACTTGAACACACATTGTGTGTGAAACAGTAGAGGAGAAGGTGATAAAAAAAGGAAAAAGTAAACTAAAGAAAAAAATGTAACTGTGCGTCAGTCAGGTAACACGTGAGAGACTTTGTGCAGGGAAGAAGGGAAAAGGATAGGGACGACCATTTACTTCCCATCCTCCCCTCTTCAGCGGTGGTTTCTGAGGGCTTTGGGGCTGCCCTCCTGCCCATCCAGCTGAACAGCAAACACTCAGCATGGCCAGCTGTACTCATGGGGCTCCGTGCCCAGCACTGCCAGGCACCTGCCTGTCCCTGGGGTGGCTGGGGGTGAGGTGGGAGAGGAGCAGAGTCAGGGGCATGGCCAATGCCAGGATATGCCTAAGTTAACAGATGGGGAAAGTCGATGCCTGAGAAACACCTGAGCAGTGCTTCTTGAAATACTTTTTATCCTAAACATTGTGAAACCCACCTCCCGAGCTGGGACGGTTTGCTTCTGGGAGTGATGAAGACACGCAGCTTTAGCAGAGCTGACGGGGGTGAGCAAAGCCCTCCCCACTGGATGGCCTGTGGGACAATGACGGAGAGACAAAAAGGAGAAGGTTGAGAAAGGACAGACCCCTGTGGGAGGAGAAAAGGGGTCAGGAAATCTGGTGCCAAACACCCCACCCAGACTCTTCCCTCATCCCAGCCAAGGTGGGTGAGTGTCCCCAGATGGCTCCAGCACACCCCAGTCCAGCTGCAACAGCATCACCAGCCCCTGTCCAGCAGTGCTGGGGCTTGGGATGTCTGGGGGAAAGAGGAAGTTGCAGTGGGGACACATGCAGCCAAGGACAGGGATAAGACACAGCTTTCACTCACAAACTTTCAGTGCACAAACACACAGCAGCAAAACCAGCAGTACCCTGACTCAGCACCTCCAGCGCCCGTCTGAGTCCTTAGCATAAAGGAGTGACGTCTGCGCTGGTGGTGTTTGGATACAAAGACTCTCACCCTCTGCCTCTTTCCAAGCATGTATTACCTTTTCTTGGGCTCTCTGAAACCCTTGAGATGGCTCAGGCATTTCTCTGCCCTTTCCCTCTTCTCTCCGCAGCTCCTTCTGCACAATGGCCTGGGGTTGATAGCACCAAGGATTCCTTTAAGGACCTAGAGACTGTTCGGCTCTCCCCAGGGACTGCCAAGAGGGAGCATTGCTTAATTGGCTCTCAAAGGAGGTTGCAACCTCTGAACTGCTGGAAGCTTGGTAAATTCCTCTGGCAAGCCTTGCCTTTTCCCTTAACCCTGACTACTTCAAACTCTGTGTCAGGCACCTCTAGAAAGCAGACTGAGACAGGGCAATCATCAGGACTATACTAACTCATGACATAATTATAGAATCATTTAGGTTGGAAAAGACCCTTAAGATCATTGGGTGCAACAGTTAACCTAGCACTACCAAGTCCACCACTAAACCATGTCCCTAAGCACCACATTCACATCTCTTTTAAATACTTCCAGGGATAGTGGCTCAGTCACTTCCCTGGGCAGCCTGTTCCGATGCCTAGCAACCCTTTCAGTGAAGAAGTTTTCCCTAATATTCACTCTAAACCTACCCTGGCACAACTTGAGGCAATTTCCTCTTGTCCTATCACTTGTCACTTGGGAGAACAGACCAACACCCACCTCTCTGCAACCTCCTTTCAGGTAGTTGTAGAGAGCAGTAACGTCTCCCCTAAGCCTCCTCTTCTCCAGGCTAAACAACCCCAGTTCCCTCAGCCACTTCTCATAAGACACATTCTCTAGACCCTTAGCCATTGTCCTTCTCTGAACATGCTGCAGCACCTCAGCATCTTTCTTGTACTGACTAGACATTTTAGCATTTCATACAACAACCATTGTTTTTCCACACTCAGCTTAGGATGGGACAGGACAAACTGCTGTGTAACACAGCTTCTGCAAGTTCTCCTCCTGGGGCTGCAGGTCTGACTTCCATCTGGCAATGAGTACGCTCCTCTGAACAAAAAATCTGAAAGGGAGATCTTAACCCAGTCCGTCCTTCAAGGTATTCATTAATTGTTGAGCACAGGATTTCCTTCCATCTCTGTAGATCTTACTGGAAAGCCCAGTGTCTGCTAACTAGTGATGGGAACCTGAGCTGGGCTCTGTTCCTCTCCTTCAGGGAGTCTGGATAGCTCAGATGGATGAGCAGCAGGCTTTTAATCTGAGGGTCCAGGACTCAATCCCCTGTTCAGGCGAGAGCTTTCCTATTTCTTCACTCATTTCTCACGTGCAGATCAGGTGGCACTGCTCAAAACAGGAGGAAAGGTGATGATCACAGTCACAAATGAGCTCTTTGCATCTGACTCCTGCTTCCCGCCTCAGATTTCGCCCTCCAAACTTTGCTCTAGTCTCACGGCAAACGTGTCACTCGAAGTCCGTGCATCTCTGTCAGCCCAGCACACCATGTCATCTTCTCTGCCACATCCCTCCTACAAAGGGACAACAACCACTGCAAAAAGGGCTACTGGGAAGGAGGCAAAACTGCGTGATTCATTCTTTCTACAGTCATTCTGACAGCAGCCAGGCAAGAGCAATGCTTTCTTTTTCCTTGAAAACTATTTTGGAAAAGCCAGTGGCACCCTGCCCCCAGTCCTGTAAGTCCATCAGAAGATTTTTGAGGAGGAAAAGCAATACCTTCTTGAAACGGTATGTTTCTAGCATCCTGGGGCACATACCTGGTTGGAGTCACAGCACAGTTTAGCAGTGACACCAAAGCAGGCTGGGTAAATAGCTGTTTTTTACAGAAACCTCGTAAAGTTTCACTTCCAGGCCAACAAGCGAAATAATCTAAGTCCTTACTCTCTTCAAAACTTACGGGGTTGCTGGGTTTATTGCAAGGAATGGCATCTGAAAAGGAGGAAAAGCAGCTTCTATTCCTAAATGACAGGAGGCCGAGGGAAAGCTGTAGTAGAATCTGCTGCTCAGCCCAGAGCTGCTCCTGGCAGGACAGAGTGGGCCAGCTCATGGGGTTAGCTCAGGGAAGGAGATGCCAATGTTTGGGGTGGGCAGGGATAGTCCAGCAAATTCATGGCTTTGTAAAATCTCAAGCAAAAGGTAGGGAGAAAAAATAAGAAATTCTGCTCCTGCCCAGCTAGCTGATGGCAATGCATGCATTGACATGTCCAAGGTTCCTCATTCTGCTTCTCCTTAACTACAAATTCTGATAACCAAAATCATGAGATACAACCTGAAGAGATTTGACAGTCTGGTCTTGTTCTAGCATGCTTTGGGGTATCAAACACAGAGAGAATAGTTAACAAATGCACTGTGAAAACTCAAGAAAAAATGACCTCTTATTATATGTAGTCTGCACCATTTCACCTTGAAATAAACCCCTGGATGACAGCATTCCTGGTCCTATTCCCATTTTAGAGGTAGGACAGGCATAAGAAGACAGTGGTTCAGCTCATGTCCTGCACCATGTCCCATCCCCTTGACAGGCCCAGGAGAATCTCACTGGAAGGTTACAGGAGGAATGCGTACAGTTGCTCCCAAATTGCCATGCAACCACTTTTGTTCCTTCTCACCATTCCCCACTAGTCCAGCCTGCCTTCTTCTTCGGCAAGCCACAAATCCCGCAGATGCGTTGCTTTCAATTTCACTGGTCACCCTCTGAGCCAAAAGCGAAGCCTCCAGAAAAGCCCAACAGCTAGCTGCCCGCAGCATCACCAGCCTTGCAGCCACTCTCCCTGGGACCTGCTCGCGAAAGTCCAGGTGTTTCCTGCAGCTGAGCAAGCGGCCCCAGCCTCAGGATGGCAACCTGGAGACAAAAACTGGGCACATGGCAAAGGGAGTCCTTACAGCCCAGCTGGAGAGCTACTGAGGAGGATCACGGTTTGATCCTGTGCTCAAATGATTGTACTCCCATTTTATACAGCTCTTTCCAACTGTGGATTGGAAAGAGCTGTATAAAATGGAGACAGTGGAAGTCTGAAACCCGAGAGAGAAGGGAATTTGATTTGCAGAAGGCTATCGCCAGCTGCACGAGGCATGATTTCCCCCTTTGTAAATCCAGATTGGCTACTCCCTACATACAGAGGAGCACACACATATGCCAATATATAACAACTGCCTTCATCAGCAGACAGCCACCCAGAGGGGAGGAGGGATTGGTGTTCATTCATGTGCTGGGCAAAGAGGCACTGCTTCATGTCTCACAGGCACTGATGCATGCAGCCGATCCTTCCAGCCTGTGATCCAAGCTAGTCCCCGGCCCAGCTGGCAATCCATCCGACTGTGAGGACTGCTCAATTAACTGTGATCTTCAAAGGCATGAATTAATATTAACTGCGTAGCTCCGCCAAATATGCAGAACATAATGCTTTATGCCTAATGCTGATAACTAAACAAAAGAATCAATGAAATGATTAATCGAAATGTGGCAAACACTGATAGTTTATTGACAAGTGGTGTTAGACAAATAAAAGCTTCTGAGATGGGTTACTCAAATTCTGAAATGCAGTTAATAAATTCACACTGCTGGCAAGAAAGGAGGTTACTTACTACCCATTTAATTATGCATTAAGCACTAGCAGATGATAATTAGTGACTCCCATTGAACATAAAAATCATCTGATGCTAATGCTACTTACTGAATGGTGACTCTCTACTGGAACAGTGTGGAAAAGAGAACGAGGCATATTTTCCATCCTCAGAGTCTCTAGGTTTGCATCTAGGTCTGTGTGTTCCCATCAGGAGATCCCAGAATGGATAACAACAACAGCAGTTCTTTAGACCCTGTTTTGCTTTATCGTTGACTTGACCCTTCAGCACCGCCCCAGATGCAGCTGCAGCACGCCGTTGAAGTGCATATCCACATAGTAAGTGAACTCTTTGGGCATGATGTGCATCCTGGTATTGGGAAGCACATTGTCATAGTAATGATGAGGCAGGGAATGTCCATCAGGATGCAAAGAGAAGGGCCAGAAGCCATAGAGTGTAATGTGTTGGCACAACTCCAGAGCAGTATTCACCAGCATGAAACCTGATGAGAGGCGACGGGTGTGAAAACCACGATCATGCCAGTACTTGCTTAGAGCACTGAGGTACTGAGGATGGAAGAAGAAGACTTGTGACTGGGAGGCAGAGTCCTTTAAGGCATATAATGCTCGATAAGAAGCCTCAGTGTTGCCGGGGTAGGAGAAAGCTGGGATGAAGAACCAAGTCTTTCCATAGGAAGCTGCTGCATTCACAAATGGTAGGCGCCGACCATTCAGACCATGAAACCTGTGAGGCAAGAGACGTGGGACCATCACCCTGTGCCAATCCCATCCTCACTCCCTCCTGCCCTTCTCCTGCTACTCTGCCAAGTTCAAGATTCTCAGGTGCAGCTAACACAGACCAGAGAAGCAGCTTGAAAATACCCAGGAGGTTTGCTAGTGACTAGTTGGTTCAAAGCCTGGGAAGATGTCTTCAAATTTAAAACCTTAGTTTGGCCACACAGCTCATAATGAATGGAGAATGATGTCCCGTAACAGTGGAGCAGAGGGCTGGGACAGAATTAATGCCATCTGCCTTTAAAGATCTACTCGACAGACATCTACATCTGAGCTAATTGCCTAAATGTCCTTTGTAGTACCCATTTTCCCCACTGAACATAAAAAGCATTTATGCAGCTAGGATCAGAATGAAATTAAATAGTTCCCCTCAGAGCTTCTCCTGACAGCAGCAATACATAACACAGCTGAACCTCTTTGCCTCTCTTGATATCACCCTTGAGAGGATCAGCTCACTGGAAAGACTGGAAACGTTATTAATCTCTAGTGGTGAGCTACAACAATGAATAGCAACCAAAAGTCTTGAACAAACTCTGCCCAAAATAACTCAAAGACTTGCAGGATTTCCCTGTATGCCTCTGCACAGAGGGGAACATCTCATGGCAGTAGATGCCAATAGCTATTTATGGACAGACTTTGCATGGTAGCAAAGGTCTGTCAGTTTTCTGGGACACAGAGCAGAGGAAAAGCGAAGATCAGAGTATACTGGGGTTCTCCCAGAGCTAGTACTCCTTTCCTCCATTTTTGTTACCACACTTATTACCTTTTCTGAAGGATACTGGGATTCACAGTGACAATGCTTGACTTTCTGCCCACATCCTCAGAGAAGTCCACTGAAGGCAAGTTAAACCTGATTGGGGTGATAAGCAAAGGAAGTCTATGAGAAATAATGATCCATGATATCCTGAGAGCTTACCCAGCCCCTGTGACACTACCCAGTTCAAGTACACCCCACTGTTTCCCCAGGTTCCTCACCTCCAACCCCACTCAGAATATTTAATCTGTCTCCATTTTCTCTACCTTCACCCTCTTCCCACGAAAGCCTCGTTCTCCTGCTGGTCTCCTACACCTCTCCTGGGCAGGCTAGCAGTAATTACCTGATTACAAACTGGTGGCTATCAATTTTAGAGCCACAGCTACTGTTCCTGAGGATTCCTCCATTTCCCACCACAGCACAGGTTTTGTAGACAGGGTCCTTAAATGGGGACTTCTATAAAGAACAACACGTAGAAATTCAGAATTACAGTAAAGATCTCCCACAGATCCTCCAACCAGACACACTGCAGGCTGTATGAGAGAAAAGCGTGCAGACTGTGAGTCGTATTCCCAATCAAAGATCCCTCCTACCTCTGGCAGGATCTCCAGCAAGCCACTGCTGACTTTCAACTTCTTCGAGTTATACCCATCATAGACAATCTCAGTCCCCAGTGGTGTGTTGTCTTGTGTCACAGCCAGCCAGGCTGAGGCATTGCAGCAGTGCCCTAGTTCTGCCCTGGAAGGGGGAGAGGGCGCAGGGCAGTGAGCAGAGGTCTGGGGACAGGAGGAAGGAGTACTAACAAAGGAGAGAGGGGTGAGAATGAGAAGAGAGGGCTAGGCAAGGGGCTACAGCAGAAGCAGAAGTAAAGGATTAGGTGAGGAAATATTGCAGTGTAAAGAGAAAGCAAGCTTGGGAAGGCACAGGGAAAACAAAGCATTGTGCCAAGTTAGAGCAACCTGCGGTATGCACTCTGTTCACCCATCCTCACACATCCTTCATTTCCTTCTTCCTCATTCACGCACATTACCAGGCATTTTCTATCTGTTCTCCGCTCTTTAGCCTAGCCACTACTCCACTGCCTTTCCTGCTTGCTTCAGCCTCAGCTTCATGCCTGACCCTTGTGTGCCTTCCCCCTTGCGTGCCTTCCCCCCTCTCCTCATAAGCTCCCCAAGATGCAAGATCAAAGGCCAGCATATGGGATGCAGCAGGGCAGTGCAAACAGGTTATGCGAGGATGGTGGGCGTGCCTGCATGTCCCACCCTTACAATATGGCCTGGAGAACAACATCTCTTTAGATGTGTATGATCGTGAGTCTAGATAGTGTGTGTGAGTATCAATACAATAAAGAAATACAGCAGGCATTCACCTAAAACTCATGTGAAAGGGGCTGATAACCAAGAGACTCCTGGAATAAAGAAGGAGTCACCTGAAACAAAGAATGAAAAGAACATGAAGATTTTTCACAAGGCAGAAATGTCTATGGAGTAGAAAGAGCAGCAGTCTAAACCTGATCTGGCACTGCCAGAAGTTGTCCCACCGGCGTCGAGACCTCTGCCAAGGGCAGGCAGAGCAGCCTTCCCGTCACAGTGTGCGAGACTCTGCATCCAGCCAGCGCTGTCAGCACCGGGTGCAGCAAGCAGGGACCCACAGCACGGGTGCTGTGCGTATGGGGAGTCGTGGGGTACTTCTCCACAGGCTTGGACAGCAGCAAGTTGTAGAGAGCAAAAGGGGTTCCCACAAATCTAGATCACATGTAGATCCTGTGAGGGGGAGTGTGTGCCTGTAACTCTCTCAGTGGGTGTGACTTTGTGTGATAAGAAATTCTTGGGCTTATTTGTAGAGCGGTGAAATTTGTATTTGTATATTGACATTTTGTAAGTGTCTGACATTTTGGTTTATCTGTGTTGTTATTGATATTTGATCCTGAATGTTTAGTCCATTCATTGTGGGTTAAGCATGTCATTGCTAAATTAATAAACTGCTTTGGTCGCGATATTATTGGAAGTAGGTGAACTGAATGGTTTTTCCCTGTGACTGGTGGGCATCACCTGTACTGGGCCAAGGCAGTAGCATTGAATTTCCAGCGGCAGCTCTGCATTAACTTCACGTGTCTCAGGCTCCAGACCATATTTATCCTACGGCAGAAAGAGCTTGTAAGCAACTTGAATGCTCTCACAAAATTTTCTGCAAACAAATTACTCTGTTACATCCCTTCCTGCCCCCTGGACCTTCATTGAGGCCACCAGGTGACCCAGTTTAGCCAAATCTCTGTCTGCCACTGCCCAAAACCCTTGTGGCCATGGCTCTCACTTCTGAGGTTGTGTTATGTTGCTCAACAGTTCTTGACATGCTTCTGCTTCGGGAACCTTGATGTCAGGTCTGCCAAAAAAAAAGGGTTAAACTGAGCCAGAATACTATGTCCTCACACAGCTTTCCTCCATCACTCCACCCCAACAATCTTGTACCCGCATTGTCTCCCCTTGGCCACTTCATGGCCCTGCCTGCAACACCACCCACCTGAGATATCCACCTGAATCTATCGGCACTACACTCATTCCCTACCCTATCTCCACTCCGACTGATTCCTCCCCTGGAGGCATCCTGGAGCAAGCCTCTATGTTCCCACTTCCTTTCCAGGATTGAGAGGACACAGTTCCTCTACCGCGTCCCTCACTCACCTTTCATTCAACATCAGTAAGCACATGGAGACAAGTGAGACTGCAGCTACAGCCAGCAGTGTGACCCATAGTTTTTGCATCTTCAGAAGTCCTGGCTTCACATACTCCTCCCTGCTGATGCTGTTTGGCATATTGGAGAACGCTTGAGAGAGCAGAAGAAATGAGGAAAGTCCATACCTGAGCTGGTCATGTAAACACCCAGCCCGGGGCTTCTACAGCACTGTCCCTCACTGAGAGTTTCCCTTAACTCTCTGCAAAACAACATCCAGAACAAGAGATAGTGGGGAACTAACTTCTTTTGGGCTATGCTGAAGCATGCCATGGGATTACCAGTTGATCCCACCAGACCCTGCTGGAAGGCGTCATGGGCCAATACCAACACGTAGAATTCCCTCTCCTCTGAAGCTGTCCTCAGCTATTCCAGGAAAGTGATTGCACGGGTGTTCTTTCACAGCCGTGGCTCGACTCCCTGACAGCTTCTCCAGCTCATCTGTAGAAGTTATCTAAAAATGCTGCACCCACGTTCCTCATCATCTGTGTTGGAAAGAAAAGGGCAGGCAGGTTTTCTCCTCCTTTGCTTTATTCCCCTGCACACCCGGGGCCATGACCAGCCCCAGTGATCCTTAGGCCATGAACACAGGACTGCAGTGCATCCTGCTCGCCTGAGTGAGAGGTTGTCCTGGAGCACTGTGGTTTTACCTGTCTGCAGGAGGATACCCCAATGTCAGTTCTATATCACAACAGATATTGCATTGGATGGGCATGTTTCTTCAGAGGCACACCTTTATCTGGTGTGGTTTAGAGAAACGGTTCACTGAATTTTCCGAAGCACACCACTGTTTTGCCCACATCCTTAACCATCTGCCCATCCTCGGCTGAGGAATGATTGTTCTGGCTATCTCCAAACCATGCCGTGATCACAAGGTGTGACAGAGAAGGGAAGGAGGAAGCAGAGCTTTGTTGACATTCCTTCTGAAGTTTTGTCTCTGAGTTTTCTATTTTTTAACTCTGTTTACAGGTTGCTAAGTTAGCCTGATCCAAATCTTTACAGGGGAAATTTTGAAGACATAATTGCGGCATTTTAATACTTAAAGGGGGCTTGTGAGAGAGATGGAAAAAGATTTTTTTTACCAGGGTCTGTAGTGATAAGACAACGGGCAATGGTTTTAAACTGAAAGAGGGTAGTTTTAGATTGGACATAAGGAATGAATATTTTACAATGGGAGTGATGAGACACTGGAACATGTTGCCCAGAGAGGTTGTGGATACCCTATCACTGAGAAATTCAAAAGTGTTCGAATTCAGATTGCTCGGTGCCTTGAACAACTTGATCTAGTGAAATAAGCCCTGCCCATGGCAGAGGCGTGGAACTAGATTATCTTGGACAGTTCCTTCCAGCCCAAACCATTCTATGATTCTATGAATCTTTGACTGCATGATTCTACGGAGACAGAAAGTTTAGATTTATCAGGATTGTGATGTGATCATCAGTGGCCTGTTCACAGGGAAAACAAATGCTTCTTTTTGTCAGTATTGCTCAACTATGAACTTATGTCCTGAAGCTGTAACCCGATTAACCCAGCCCCAGGCAAAATGAAGGTGATCAGAAAATTGTTTTTATTGCTATTAGTGCACTTTGTATTACTTGGGTTTGTTTGTTTCGAGGATTTTATTGAGCTAGTCTTTATCAAGGTTAGGTTCTTTGGATTTTGATTTTTCTGAGCTACAGCTCTTTTCAGAAGAGAGTAATATTCACTTTAAGGACCTTGGTCTGAGTAAACATATTGTCAATTCTCAAAAGTGATAATTCCTGAAACACAATACAAGCAGTACACTAAGGTTTAGCACTAATTATATAACAACAGTCCAGAAAACAGGAATCCATGGATCAGTTTCCTAACAAAACCCACAAGGTTAAAACAACAATTTCAATGAAATGGAAGGTATGGAATCTAAATCCAAGAAAGCTAAAGCTCGCTTACCTTTTAGATCAAGAAGGCTGTGAGGCTCATCTATTCGATCCTGAAGCTGGCTTCAAATACACTCCTATCTGGGCTGGTACAGTTTTGATGCAGCTCAAACCTCCGAACAACCTGGAACTGCCCTCTCGGAGGGAGGGGATGTGATGATTTCCTTCTATTGGAGTGACTCACGCATTGCTTCAGAACAACTAACCTATGAACTGTGAAAAGTCCTCTTGACAGTCAGTACTCAGTGCAATTACGTCCACATCAGAAGCCTTTCTGGGCCTTGTTTTTCTGCGTTGTGCACCTTATGGTAAATAAGAAGGTGGCTTGTCCAACCGTTGCAGTGTTTTGCAAACAGCTGCTGCACAAGACACATCATAGACACAAAAAGACAAAGGTCTTCAGTGTACAGCCAAGACCTCAGAACACTGCTGCAGAGTTGGGAGGGAGCTAGCTGCTAGTCTTAGTGCAGAGGCTGACTACAGCAAACTGTGCCTAGACCTACAATTCCCAAAACTGTTCAAGAGCTTGTGGAAACAAGGTTTACTAAACCTAGGAGCCCACACCCCTAGGGGTTGCTAAACAAATAGGATGCTAAACCTAGCAAACCATAAACTGAGGGGTCCATAACCCTTTTAGGCACTACAGTAGGGACCCACAAAAATATGGGGCCCATAATCCTAGAGACCCATAAGCCTTTGGGGCAGTAAAAGTAGTGGGGGCTAACCCAAGGGCCCAAAAATTTAAGGGCTGGCCCAAAACCCCAGGGGTCAGTAATTTTATGTGCCTATGGAACCCTATGGAAGCCTAAGGGCCCATAATCCTACAGGCTTATAAACCTAAGCGGTGCAAACATTAAAGGCCTGTAGTTCTAGGTGCCCATAACCCCTGGGGGTATTAGCCCTTGGGTGCCCAAACCCTGAGAGTTCCCAGCCCTAGAAAGTATGAAACCTAGAACCTAGGGGCCCATAACCCTAGGGAACCAAAACACAGGGAGTTTTTACCCATGGCTCTCAGGAGCCCCATGATTGAGAATAAAGGAACTTGGCAGCCTCTGGGGCACACAGACAGGTTCCTGAAGCTTAGGGCTTCATGGAAGGGCATCAGTGGCTCCTGGAGCAAGCAAAAAATCTGGCAGAGGCCTCTGGGATGGGAAGTTAGTTGCCTCTGAGATCCACAGATAGGCTCACAGGGAAGCTCACACACTCAGAGTTGACAGAGGGTCACCTTGTCCCAAATAATCAAATTCCTTGTAGTCTCACTCTTAAAGTGAAGCCTGTTCCTGGATCTCCTCTTCTGCACAGGACCCCAGGTTGGCTATATTACTCAGCAGAGTGGATGGGGTTGCTGGCCAACTCCGTCCCCTGCCCAGGACCAGAATTGCTGTTCTCTGGGGCCATGGGATGACTCTGTACTGGCCATGTGGGTCAGGGAGGGAAGCAGACCAAGCCAGATAGAGCCACTGCCTATTATCTGTCTTTTTTAGGTGTCTGTGGGATGAAAAATGCTTTGAGGAATCATGAGACATTTCCAATTGCATGAGTTGCATTCAGGTGTGCTGCCACATTTAGATTAAGGTGTTTAATTGAAGATTGTATGAATCAGTCTCTATTCTCCATTCCCATGGAGTGCTAGGATTCTGTGCTTGTCACCCTGAACTCATGGAGAACCCATGGAAAGCAGCAGGTCCTTTAGTGTGTTCTTGCCAGCAGCATTGTAAGAAAAGCTGAGCCTTCAGGATTTCAGCTAAAAACCTGTTACTGCAGAGATGCTATAACAGGGAGACTTTCTTCAGCAGAGAAGCACCCACAGCGAGGACATATCTGTAGGCATGGGAACGCCCATGCAGACACCACAATGCCTGCCCCAGGTTTCAAAAGCACTTAGACCAGATATAAGGAGAGTGGCTCAAGAGGACAATGAGGAAGTTAAAAGATCATTTCTGAAGAGGCCAATTCCTGGCAATTTCACTGGACACAGCTCCTGGAAAGTAAGAGTCCTGACTACAGCAAGGAGACGCCTGCCATAGCAGAGAAGGGAATGCAGCGGGTGGAACAGGGGCTGCCCTCACATGATGTGGCTGGACCTAGAACAAGCCTAATAGAGCAGCTGCTCTAAGAGCTGAGCTGGCTCCAGATTTCATCTGTCCCTTTAGTTGTTGCCCCCTGGAAAGATGCTAGTAGCAAAAAGAGTAGGAATGCAGTAAGGATGGCAATGAGAATAAAACCATGAAGTGAAAAAACAAGTGATACCGCCTGGTCCTACAAACACAACTGATTTCTATAGTGTAAGCTCATGTGGAAGAGGGGTGCCTGTTCCTTTAAGGCTGTCTAGTAAAGGACATTTTCAATGAAAAAATGAATGATAAGAAAAGGATAAAGCAGTGAACAAGAATATAAAGGGACACAACCCACACCAACAAACCATTAGGGAGGCAGTGATAAGAATGAAAAGAGTCAGTCACACTGACTGATAAGGGTTTACGGAAATGTTACATTCAGTGAGATATCTAATCAAGGACTTTGTCTTATGCGATACTAAGGAAAAGGAGGAAGCCATAAAAAAACCATACAGAGAAACAAACCTGACAGGTAACCATAATGGGGAGAAAGACATAAAAGAAAACTTCTCAGTCTAGCAAGAAATGGCAGGCAAACGTGGAATTTGCAAGCAGTAAGGATTCAAAAAGATTCCATACTGGCAGTTGTAGCAGGATCACTGGTCATACCCCGTGTGGGTGGTGCTGCCTGCTGGGGGGGGCAAGTGTCTGTGTCTTCCCAAAACAAGTGTGCATGGGGTGTTGTGCTGGTTTTGGTTGGGAAAGAG